AGATTCTTCTATGTCAAGGGCCATATTATGTATAAATTCTTAAGAGTCTAATTTCTTCCATTGATTTATTTTACTGGCAAAGACTTCTAGTATAATCTGGAATAGAGTGGTAATTCTAATTATTTTATAATTACAAAAATAACACAGGATCATATTTTCCCTAGATTTTAAAATAGATTTCAAGCCAAGTACGTGGTGATTTGTTCCGGCAGCTGTAGGAAATGCATTCAGATAACAAAGACCAGGCTGTGACCCTTAAGTGTCTTTACTAAAAGTTTGGGGATAATAGAAGAACAACACGGAGAATAATTGATAGCCCCAGCCCAGGCCCACGAATGCTGGAGACATCCCTGGGCTGTTCCTCACTGGGGACACTGCCTGCCTCCAGAGGGTTGGAAGCAGCATTTTGAAGTCATCAGGATGTGCAGACTGGCCCAATTTTACCCCCAGCCTAGAGAGAGGAGGAAGTGCTTTTCTTTGCAGCTGTCTGAGGCTGGCTGACTAACCCTTCCCAGCTCCAGGACTGACTTTTCTCTCTCTCCCACCCTCCGTCCAGCTCTGAGCTCCAATACCACCAACCATCAATGGGCCATTTCCCAAAGCCTGGCTTTTCTGTCTCAATAGTAACACACGTGAGCCACCAACAGCCCTGACCAGGTGAGGCTGCTCCAAGTTCAAGCCACTGCTTTCTGTGTTTCAAGGCTTCAAAAACAATCTCAGAATTGGTGTCACTTCAGGTCATCCTGTTAAACTGAGTTCATTTTTAAATGCCTTAAATTCTAGGTGTTGGCAGGGATAGAAGCTCTTCATGGAATAAGTTTTGCTAATTGCTATAACTAGGTGAAGTCAGTGCACATGAGTAGTGACTGGGAGGGAAGCCAGAAATTGCTAACATTTTTTTTTTTATTTTTATTTTTTTAGGGCTGGTGAGAGTATGTTAGGGTCACAGGTAAGATCAGCAGAGTTTTGCTATTTATGTCTTTTAACATTTATTTCAGGGTGTGCAATGCTGTTTTTACAGTGAATAAGAATAGTCATAAAGTTTTGGTGGTATAAGACAATTTAGGAGGGGAAAAAGAAGATACCAGTTGCTAGGGACTAATTTCTCTGCTGAGAGAAGCTCTCGTAGTTTATGTGCATTTCAAATAGTTGTAGATCTATTAGGGAGGAGAAATTCTTTCCTCTCTTGTTCATAGGGGGGCAGGAACATGTTTTCCCATGTTGTTAAAAAATATCAGTTATGGAGTATCCGGATGGGGTGAGGGGAGGGAAGGAGAGGGGGAGGAAGAGAGGGAGGGAGAGAGAAAGGGAGGGAAAGACAAAGAGACAAAGGAGGAGAGAGAGAGAGAGAGAGAGAGAGAGAGAGAGAGAGAGAGAGAAGCGCAAGTGCAAAGCCAAGGAAAGGCGGATGGGGACTTAAAACAAGAAGAGAGCAAAAGGACATCAAAGCTGTCCCCTTCATTAGCTACAACCCCTGGCCTCTGCCAGGCCCCAGGCAGAGGACGCAGCTAGCAGGGAACTGCACAGAGACTAGCTGGTAGATTCTGGAAGCCTCCAGAACTCGCAGCCAGTCTTTTCTCTCCATCTGGCAGGCACTTCTCCATCTCCACCTGTGGGCATCCAGAGGGTCCTGTAAGGCTCACGCCAAATGGTAGCATCACTCACACCAGGTCTTTGGTTTGCAAGTTTCTTAAAATCTGTATTCTACTCTATCTTAAACTTGCCTCCCTCTTGCCTTAGCCACCGCCCTTCCCAAGCCTCCAGGAAGCCTCCAAATGTTACAATGTAAGATTCTTAAGGGCAACAAATGTCTACATTGTTTAGAGTCTACATTGTATCTTCCACATTGTCAAGAAACATACATTTAAGTAAACTCATTTGAAGCTCAGTGATAAAATGAAGGTTAGATTACCTTGTGAGAGTTACAGAAATCAGTGAAAACAGTATCAAACTATACTTCTCTGTTTGCTTTTAAACACCGGTGTTAGTGTATGTGTTTTTAAAATTAGTTACAATTTAGACAAAGCTATACTTTCTATTCAAAAACAAAACTAACAACAAAAGGTTGAAAAGCCACCCCACTCCCTATTGTCCATGGGTGTCATCAGAATCTGCCAGCTTTGACCACGTGGCTGTGATCTAGTAGCCACTATTTGTGGATTGCATTTTAACAGCAGGCAAAATGAGCGTGCATTAAATGATCACAGAAAGTTTGAACACTCTCACATTGTTTTGAAAATCAATGTTGTCCTAAGTTCCTTTAAACTCAAAGGAGTTTAAATAATCCTGTGATTTTTATTATTTAGATAGCAGTAATAACTAACGTTTATTGTTGCTACCTTAATGCCAGAAGCTGTTCAAAATGCTTTGTTTGTATTCACTGGGTTAATTTCAATAACCATATGAGGAAACTCAGGCATTAGGAAGGTAACACAATAACTGTTGGAGCCCTGATCCAAAGCGCCCAGAAGCCATGCACTTTAACACAATGCTTTTCCGACTCTTCAAGTTCTGGCTCTTTGCAAAAATGTTTTGAGATATATAACTTTGAATTACAAAAGGCAATGACAAAAATGCAAAAGCAATGAGCTATGTTAAAACTTTGGCACATGGTCCTTTTTGTCCATAGTCACCTTTTCTGAGAAGCTAAGAGATGTATGAAGGTGGCATAGTAGTGAACAGCGTGCAGAGGATAGACTTGAACCTGCTCCACCTTTTACCAGCTGTGTGACCTTGAGAAAATTGCTTACCCTCTCTGAGCTCTATTTTCTCTATGTGTAAATGGGTGGTTGCAAGGGTTAAATGAGCTGATATGTGTAAAGTGTGTAGCACAGTGCCACACACAAAGAGAGTGCCATAGAAGTGTTTGTTGATGTTCAGTGAGTTCATTGAACCCCACTGTGCCCCAGGAATTCTGCTGGACTCTGAGTCAACTCCACCTGACCTAGTGGAGTTGATCAAATCATTCTAACAAAATGTAATAGTTTGGAAGCAGTTTGGAAGAATCGAAGAAAGTATACCCAACTTGGTTTGGATGGAAATAACAGCACAGCCATGTGTCACTTAACGGCAAGGTTATATTCTGAGAAATGGATCATTAGGGGACTTCGCCATTGTGTGAACATCATAAAGAGTAGCTTACACAGACTTAGAGGCACAGCCCAGGTTATATGGTAAATTCTATTGCTTCTAGGCTACAAACCTGTACAGAATGTCACTGTACTGAAAACTGTAGGCAATTGTAATACAGTCATCTTTGGGTATCTAAACACAAAAATGGAGCAATTAAATTGTGATATTTGTGATATAAGAGATAAAAAATGGTGCACCTGTCTAGGACACTTAACCATGAATGGAGCTTGCAGAACTAGAAGTTGCTCTGGGTGAGTCAGTGAGTGAGTGGTGAGCGAATGGGAAGGCCTCGGACATCACTGTATGCTACTGTTCACTTCATAAACATAGTACACTTAGGCTACACTAAGTTTATTTAAAATTTTTTTTGCTTTCCCCAATAACAAATTAGCCTTAGCTAATGTAACATTTTTGACTTTATAAACTTATACATTTTGATTAACTGACTCTTTTGTAATAATGCTTAGCTTAAAACACAAACACTTTTTGGAGCTGTACAAAAATATTTTCTCTCTTTGTATCCTTATTCCATGAGCTTTTATCTTTTTATAAAAGTTTTATTTATCTAGTTTTTTACTTTTCAACTTATTTTTTTGTTGTTGTTACAAACTAAGACACAAACACACTTGGTAGCCGAGGCCTACACGGGGTCAGGATCATCAAATATCACTGTCTTCCGCCTCCATTCTTGTCCCACTGGAAGGTCTTGGGGCAGTGACAGGCATGGAGCTGTCATCTCCTATGAGAACAATGCCTTCTGGAATGTCTCCTGAAGGACCTGCCTGAGGCTGTTTTACAGTTAACAATTTTTTAAAAAAATAAGTAGAGGGAGCATATTCTAAAACAACAATATAAAGCATAGTGTAGTAAATGCACAAACCAGGAACACAGTCCTTTATTACCATTGTCGAGTATTATGTATGTGCCAGTTTTATAAGACTGGTAGTGTGGTATGTTTGTATACATCATCATCACCACAAATGCAGGAGTAATGCCTTTCTTAGGACAGCCACGGTGCCACTAGGCAATAGGAATTTTTCAGCTCCCTTATAATCTCATGGGCCCACTGTTGTACATGCAGCCCGAAAGGTCATTACATGGTGCATGTAATTGGCTGTCCTTATACCTACATGGAAGCAGTTTTTTTTTAATCTGTGTGGTATAACTAACTAACACATGTCTGTTTTTCTCCATTCCCAAGCCATCGTGCTGGAGATTTCAAAATTAGAGATTTATTAATTTGGGTCAAGCATCGCCCTTTTCCCATGGGTTTCTGTAGAAATGCAAATTAACTTAGAGTTTGCATCAGCTTTTTAATGACATTGGGTGGTGTCTTGCATAGCAAAGCACAGGGACTCAAACCCAGAGATTCAATTAAAGGAGTCAGGATGGGGGCCTGGATGTAGCTCAGCTGATTCAGAGGCTAGAGGCAGCCTTGCAATACATGCTGGGAGGCCGTGGGCTGAGGGTCTGGGGCAAATTGGTGGCCTTTTCATCTGGAAAATAAAACGTTCATGAGGGAAATAGGTTTAGGAAGAGAAGAGGCTACAGGGAAGGGTCTGTCCACCCTCTGCTGCTGGGCTATTCCTTTCCTGGGGCAGCTCCTCTAATCTCGTTGGGACAAAGTTCCCTTCCGGGACATGGGAGCAGGGGTTACCCAGGTCCCCATCTGCCTTCCAGCCTCTTCTCTTTCCCTCTGTGTTTTCCCTGAGCTCTGCCACCCCGTGCCATCCCCAGCCATGTGGCTAATGAGAGGCCTATTCAGACCTCATTAGGAGATCAACTTGGTTTCTTCCGCCCTCAGAAGCTAATTATGTCTCTTTCATTAGTTCAATTTTGGCAATTAATGTACCTCCGTATACATAAATGGCTGTTTGTTTTCAGGCTAAGTGACATGTGTGTGGCTGTCCTTTCCTCTCCGGGTGCATGTTGGTCTCTTTATCTTGCTCCCTTTTCTTACAAACAGTGCCTTGGTCAGGGATCTAAATTTAAGCAACAGAAATCAATATGGCAAATTTAATAGCTAAAAGGGATTTATGGTAGAGACACTGGAACTAGAGGATGTGCCAAACAATTGATCCTCAGAAGCAAGAGGAAACTGTGGGCGCTGGAAGTCCTCTTAAACAATAAGGACATTTCAATCTCGCATTTGAAAGCATCACCAGGCAGGGTGGCTCCAGGGTTGGGAAGATCAGAGACTCCTGCTGCCATCTCAGTATTTTGACTCATCCTCCTACTACCTTCTACTGCCTCTTCCTGGAGTTCTCACAGGGCCAAGGCTGGGAGGGTTTGATGTGCAAATGACCCCTGCCTGAAGCTGCACAGGGAGTATTTTCTCTCTTGCACCTCTCTCTTTTTCTCTACTTTTTTATTTTTATATAAAAATATCACCTGGGAGAAGTCTTTGTAGGAGTCTCTGAGAAGACACACTGTCATGTTTCTGTGGTCAGGATTGCACCAAATGCCACTGCCAACCCAATCACTGGGAATGATTGTGCTCATCTTACGGCAATCCTGGGCCTGAAGGACGCCCCACCCCAGGCACAGAGCCATGTGATGTATAAGTAACCTTAGGTCTCTAGAAAGAGGAAAGGGGCAAAGGTGGCTGGGAAGCACCTGCTGAGTGTTTGCCACAACAACCTCCCAAGAGTCACATGGAATGAGCGAAAGACCTTCCCGAAGTAGAAAGGACGCAGGGCAAACATCAAGTACAGATATCCATCATTGGCTACAGAACACTCAGATTCCAAAGTTTTGCTAATGTTTGTGCTCAAAAAGTTAATTGCATATGTATAGAATGGGGGTCACCTGCCAGGACTGCAGCTTCCAGGGGACAGATCAAGGGTTTTTAGATTAATGACATCATCAAAAGGTACCAGTTGTGTGACATTGCTAAGGAAAAGTGATGCAGATCTTGGTTGCAATATAGGGGAAGATCCCTCAGCTCCTGGGAGGGGCCAGGCCCTCTCCTTTCTGTACCTGTCAGTCTGTGCCAGGAGTACAAGGACTTCCTCACGGGTGCTGTGTTTCCAGAGGACACTGGCAACTGGAGCAAACAGGAAGGTAAGACACTTGATGGCAGGAGGAAGAGCTTGAAGGAACAGAGTGTAAGCTTCAGACTGGCACTGTCTTCAAGCACAGCACGTTTCCACTTAACGTCATCAATAGGTTCTTGGAAACTGTGACTTTAAGCAAAATGATACATAACAAAAACAATTTTTTTCATCAATGTTATAATGGAACACCGAATGAAACAACATTATTTGAGGACCTGCTGAAGTCATTTCATATAAAGTAGTGCTTTCTAAGAACCTATCAGTGACACTGAGTGAGGACTTGCTGTACCTGAAGGGCTGACTGCAGGAGAGGGGTTGGACTTGTTCTGTTCAGAGACAGAAGACTGAACAAAGACCAATGAGTGGACGTTAGCAGGGGAGATTTTACATTCAGTGCAACAATGGCCATCACCTTTACACACCCGTGCATGTTTCATATCACCTTCTCTGTTATCCCTCACCCACCATGATAACCTAAGGCAGATGTTCCCATTCCCATTTTAGGAAAGAAAACTAAAGTTCAGAGAAAATCTGTTACCGCAGATCATGTAGCGTAATATTTGGCTGAAATTCCTTCAGGCCCATGGGAAATGTGTCCTTAGAAGAAGGAGGTCAGTGACACAAACCAAAGCCACCGCTACTGCAGTTGATCTCAAGTCCAGAACTGATATTCCCTCCTCTTCCTCCTCCATGGACTAATAAACTTCACTAGTAACTTTTGCACATATTGGGGGCTTAACTGTTTGGATGACCCACACCTTCAGTCCTGAGATGTCTGAGTTTGTGGACAATGTGGCTGTCCAGGGTCTTTAACCATTACAAGCGAGCAAGGAAATACCAGAAGATACCCAAGCGAGTCATCTGGGTTCCACACACACTCCTCAATGCCGCCATTGTGTACAAGCAGTACTAGGGCCAGTGACCTTGGCAGTATGTTGACTCCTTTTCTGCTGGTCCCTGGACACAAGAAAACCAGAGGGTCCTGGTGGCAGCCATAACTTGTAGTTCCCATGGGATCCTTCCTATGTACCCTTAAAGTGTGTGCCCCCTTTGGATACCAGAACCTCCAACCCTCCTAAGATCAGAATTATAGGGACTAGAAGCCCAAAATACCCCAGAAAGTCATTGGGACTCACTACTCCTGCTTTAATGTGTTGGTTCCTGGATCCATATGTCCTTCCTACTGGGACACTGCATCATGTGGAGGTCTCCAATTTAATGCAAACTCTGTGTCCTGAAGGATGGCGCCCCGTCCTTTGAGTGTTGCTCCTGAGCTGGTACAATGGCTGTGCCTTCAGAAGGCCGTTCCAGCATCCTTTGAGGCCAGCTGATTTGGGATGGTTATTGGTTGTCTTAGTCCACTTTGTGTTGCTATTACAGAATATCAGAATCTGAATAATTTATAAGGAACAGGAATTTGTCAGCTCAGAGTTCTAGAGGTTGGGAAGTCCAATGTCAAGGTGCTGACATCTTGCTGGGGTCTTCTTTCTGCATCATCCCATGACAGAAGGCAAGAGGGTAAGAGAGAGAGCAAGAGGGGGCCGAGCTCACCTTTTATAATGGCACTGATCCTATAATGGCTCCTATAGGTGGAGCCTTCATGGCCTACCCATCTCTTAAAGTCCTATGTCTTAATACTGTTACAATGGCAGTTAGATTTCAACACAAGTTTTGGAGGGGACAAGCATTCAAGCCACCTTGCTGTGCCGTGGGTCTCCCAGTTGGATGTTGTGCTGCATGAGAGTCTATGTCTGGGGATCAGACATGCATAAGCCCTCAGACACTGGTGCCAACTAAGGCTCTAGGAGCAGAAAAGGTAAACCCACACCCAGAACAGGTACCTGTCCTCATGAGGATGAACTGCTGGCTCTTTTAGGGTGGGCAGGGCCCAATGTCATCAATGTGCCATGAAGAGGCTGGTTGGTCTCCTTGAGGGATAACAGTGTATCAGGGGTTCGGTGTTGGTTTCTGTTACTGATAGATCGGATGTTCAGAGGCTGGAATAGCTAGATCAGCCTTGATCAGTGGTGGTGCAAGCTTTGGAGCCCTCTGTGGCCTCTGTTTCTGCCACTGTGACTCTCCCATTCATGTGCTCATCCTGCCAGGTCAAAGGCAGCCAGTCACAAAGTCAGGCAGGCCCAGGTGAGCTAATGCAAAGTGACTAAGTTGTTTTGACTGTTGGCTTGGTCAGTGCCTCTTCTGCGGTGGATGTTTTCAGGAGGCACTGATTTGTGATACAAAAGTATTCATGCTTTGTGTCCACTCCCAATGTGTTCATTCTTATGCCTTTACCTCGGACCTTGTCACCAATCATTCAGTGTTCTCTCTCCATGATCCTGCCCAGTCATCCATGTTTATCTTCCCCTTGGGTTGCCTCTCCTTCCATATAAAGTAGATGACCAGGTGCACTGCTCACATATTCACACACTGGGACAATTTTCTTTCTTCACTGTCTTTTAGGCCAGCCATGAATACAACAATAATGTAGCCATTGTGGAGTCTGGCTTGAACACATGAGCCAAACCAACCCATCCATTAGCCAAGCTCTGGCTCTTTCCTCCTCCCTTGGCTGGTTGCACTGGATCCCCGCATGGCTGGAGGTATGAGCTGGGGTAGTAGAGGCTGCTGTGACCATGGTTGTTGACACAGGTTCTGGGCCACCTGCTCACACAGCTCACATGTGGCTTGGGAACCTGCTCAGGCTTGATGCAGGTGCATCATTTCTCACCTATGATGACTGTCCCTGGGCCTGCCTATCTTTGTGACTGGTGAGTCCAACAGAACCCAGCTCATGGTCAGCAGCTCACTTTATACTTTATGGTCAAGTGTGTTGTTTTGTCAAGGGCCTGACATTAGGCCAAGGGCTATTTCTCTGTTGTGGCTGGCATGGCCTTGTTTCAGATCTCAGGGGCCTGTGATATGATTCTCATACTGGACTTTTCCAAAAGCTCCATCCTGTATATTTTCACACCACTGACAACTCCAACACCTTGGGATCTGCCAGATCATATGGCATAAGGGACAAGGCTGCTTGCACTGTAACCTGAAACTTCCATAGAGCCCTTTCCTGCTCCTGGTTCCACCCAAAGCTGGTGGCCACCCTTACTACCCAGTGCACTAGTTGGAACAGCATCCCTAGGTATAGAATGTGTTGCCTCCAGAACTGAACAAGGCACAATGCTTTCTTCTTGTGGCTGGGATTCAAAGTTCAGTAATTTGTCTCTGAAGGGGACATCCTGGAACACCCCTGACATTGGACACACTGAGAACATCACTGAAGTGGCAGATCACTGAATCTTCACCAGGCTTATCCACCACCCTCTGGAGCACATGTGTCTCACCAAAGCCTGCAACAGAGTCACTCTTGTGCATCCTGTCCCATCAGCATGAGGTCATCAGTGCGGTAGTGTGGTATTGGGATGCCCAGGTGGTTCAGATCCTTTTGGATGATGCTACAGCAGGTAACACAGACCTAGGGTAAAGCCATAAATAATTATTATTGTCCATCTCATGTGAATACAAACTTTTTGATTCTCTTTTCTGGTCAAAGTGGAAAAGAACAGATCTGTAAAATTGATGGCCACGTACCATGCACGTGAAGGCGTATTAATCTGCTCTAATAAAAATACTGTGTCTGGCACTGCAGCGATGATTAAGGCAGTAATTGAGTGAAGCCTGTGTTAGTTTCAGCCAGTCTCCAGGCTCCACCCAGTTCCTGCTGAGGTCACAATATCACAACAGAGGGAGGAAATAGGGCCACTATTCTTGCATTCTTTAGGTCTTTAAGGATGGTACCCATCTCTGTCATTGGCTCTAGGATACAATGGTGTTTGCTATCACAGCCAGTGAAGGAGCAGTCTCAGAAATTCACACTTGGCATCCCCCACTATGAAAATATTTTCCCTACAGGTAAGAACTCAATAGAGAGGTTACTCCAAATACCAAGTATATTAATTCCAATTACACACTCGTGAGCAGAGGAAATAACTACGCGGTGGGTTTATGAACTTGGAGGATGCTCCTGGGCTCAGACTTCAACCAGGTCTCCATGTATTGCCTGGCCACTCCACGCCCTACTCTAATAGGAAGATCAGGTTAAAGCTCTGCGTCTTTGAATGTCAAGGCTAAACTCAGACTCTGTGTCTGATAATCCTCAAAATATTTGTTTTCCCCTTTCTCCAGTGTACAGTCACCCAGAAAAATGGTCATAGGGTTCTTGGGGGAAAGAACTGATGAATCATTACAGTATAGTTGACCCCTGAACAACATGGTTTGAACTGCAACAGTCCATATAGACACAGATTGTTTTCAATAAAAGTCACACTGAGCTTGCCTGCCTCTCCTGTCTCCCTTTCCACTTCTTCAGCCTCTGCCACCCCTGAGACAGCAAGACCAACCCCTCCTCTTCCTCCTTGTTCTCCTCCTCCTCAGCCTACTCAATGTGAAGATGATGAGGATGAAGACCTTTAGGATGATCCACTTCCACTTAATGAACAGTAAATATATTTTCTCTTCCTTTTGATTTTCTTAATATTTTCTTTTCTCTAGCTTACTTTATTGTAAGAATATGGTATATAATACATATAACCCACAATCTATGGTTAATCTACTGCTTATGTTATTGGTACAGCTTCCAGTCAACAACAGAATATGAGTAGGTGAGTTTTGGGGGAGTCAAATGTTGTATGTGAATTTTCAACTGTGTTGAGGGTTGGACACTCTTTACTCCCACACTGTTCAAGGATCAACTGTATATATAGTACTGCAGAGTTCTTCTTCATCAGTAAGGGGGTTTTGGATCTGAATTTTGGCTCAGATTTGAGAACTGAGCAACAGGTTGTGACTTCTTATCAGTGTAACCACCCTCAGCCTCCTCTTCCTCCTCCACGGTTGCGTTTTGTGGGGTATTGATGGTGAGCAGAGTTCTTATTGGCTGCCTGTCTCTTTTGCTCTTTGTGGACACCATGCTCTCTGCAAACTGTCTCCTTGTGGGTCAAGACCCCTTGGCTGCCTTCTAGAACCTTCCATGGGCTACTTGCTTTTGGTGGTTCTCTGGCCTTATGTAGCATATCTGTTCCAAGATACATGCCCTCTTCAGCTTCTTCTTTTCTTCCCCTATCTCCTACCAAGACAACTCAGGCATTTCCACCTTACCAGTGTTCTCTCCTTCTTTCTCCAGGCTTCTAAGAGATCTTCTTCCCCAAACCACCAGCAGCAAGGTGCTAGGGTGTCTCCCAGGAAAGCTCCCCCAAGTCAATGAATGCCTCTTCATCTATTCTTGCTTTCTGCCCCCCTCAATCCAGCACCCTTAAAATCCAACCCTGGTTATATTTCACTGGCTCTTGCTGGCACCCGTTAGCTAATTATTAGAACATCTTTGATGTAGACTCTTTTTGCTTTTTATTATGCTCTGCATGACTGTATCCAGATTAACCCTGGTATCAGCCTAGCAGCCAGGAGGTGAGGGAAGCTCCTGAGGGAGGCAGTCCTCTACTGCATATTCCAACACAGCAGAAGTGCTAGCTCTTGCTAGGGAAGAGTGAGCCTCCTCTGCAAACTCTGAGCATTCAGGGTAGTTTGTAGGGCTGATACCCTCAGGGACATCTATCCAGGTGCCTCTGTCCCATTTTTCAAGGTTGCAGGTTTTCCCCACCATGGCTCTGAACTCAACAAAACAGACCTTCTTTGTCTGAGCACTCAAATGTTGCAGGAGCAGCTGCTCAGCTGTGTCTTCTCTTCCAAGACACCATATCAGGGTGTCTTGATGTGCTTGCACACAGCCATTAAGTGCTTGCTTCCAGTTATCTCTTTGCAAGACATCAATACAACTTAACAGTAACCAACTGATCCCACTTTCTTTGTAGGCACTGTTTCCCCCACATTTTCAAATGCTTGAATTATTGTGTGTGCAATGATGTTTCTGTCTACCAGAACATTTCCCACCTATGATAGTGTTCCCCTCCACTGAGACATTTTCCCAGGTCAGCACCAGTGAAATCTTTAGCAATTGGGTCAACCCTTTTTTTGCTACAGCCTATCCTTGCACCATTACCACTCAGAATCAATTACCACTCAGAATCAGGGGTAACGAATGAGTCAGTCTGAGGTCCCAACATCCTGCCTGTTTTCTCAAAGCCCATTCTTGGTACTGCTTGTGTCTGTTTGAATCCCCCTAAAAGCAGATGTCAAGATAAGATTAGATGTGAAAGAGATTGTTGAGGAGAAACACCTGGGAAGGGGAAGTAGGATAAAGCAGGAAGAGCCATCAGACCATGCTGTAGGTCTGTATGAGTTTCTTATTGCTGCTATAACAAACTATCACACACTTAGTGATTTAAAACCACACAAATTGATGATGTTATGGCTGTAGAGGTCAGAAGTATCGCTGGCTAAAATCAAGGTGTTTGAAGGGCTGTGTTCCTTCTGGAGGCTCCAGGGGAGACTCTATCCCTCACCTTTTTCAGCTTCTAGAAGCCATCTGCATTCCTTGGCTTGTGGCCACTTCCATCCTCAAAGTGAGCAGTTGCATCACTCTGACCTCTGTTTTCCTTGTCACTTTTCCTTCTCTGACCCTCCTTCCACCTTTTTCTTAAGGTAGTTCATGGGGCCCACAGGATAATCAAGAATAATCTCCCCACCTCAAGATCCTTAGCTTTATCTCATCTGCACAGTTCCTTTCATCATATAAGGTAACACATTCACAAGTTCTGGGGATTAAGATGTGGACATTTTGTGGGGCCATTATTCAGCTGCAACAGGTAAAGGGAGATGGAAGGAAGGAGAACTGGATAGTAAGAGTCTCAGATTGTAGCACACTTCTAAGAAAGTTTTGGCTGGAAAAATGCAGGGTTCTTAAGCTAACGTTGCTTATCCGAGAAGTCCTGTGATTCCCAAGAACGGGCCTGGCTCAAAGCCTCTGCCTCTTTCAGTCTGTGTCTGGGTAGTCGGTAGGTGAGATCACCCCTCAGTCATGTCCCCCACCAAAGGAGACCTGAGGGCACATGTTCATGGCTGCCATAATCACTGACTCCTGAATCAGATTATGCCTGGGTTTGCATTCTAGCTCTACCACCTGGTTAATTACAAGAACTTGGGCAAATCACTTGTACCATTCTGTGCCTCAGTCTCCCCACCTGTAAAATGTGGATGATAATGGTACCCAATTAATGAACCCAATAGAATGCAATAGGATTATTGGGAGGAATAAATTAGAATAATGCTCTTAAGGAATGTTACCTAAACTTACCCATTTTTGAGGGTAGAATTGTGACTCAAACTCTCTATACCTGTGTTTACAGTTTTCCATGCCCTTTTTGGTACACCACATCACTATGTGGAAGAGGCTTCCTAGTGGAGAAATTAGGGCCCTGTCTCTGGTTTTCTCTAAGTAATGACTTGTGGACCACCTGGCAGAAATACTGTGGGGGAGATTCCTGCATTGGTTGGGGGAAGGACAAGATGGCCCTAAAAACAGATTCTACGGTGCCACAATCCCTGCCTAGAGAGGAGCCTTCCCTGATGCGGGTGGGTGGATTGGCCTAGGGGGTCCAATCCCTGGTTAAGAATCCTGTTCTTGTCATGCCATCTCGGACTTGTCATTCAACCTGTCTGAAAGTTGGTTGCAGTCAACTGGGATAATCATACATCCCCACTTTCTTTCCTTGTTGGCTATGGGGTGAGCAAGGAGAGAATACACATTCCATCCTACCTCAAATCAATAATATGCAGAATCCTTACAGAAGAAAAAAATGCTTTTGCACTCTCTCTCCTCCACATTGTGGACTTAAAATATTTTCATTATATCATTACTTACATATTACAAACATAAAACTAGGCATACACTCCTATGCTTATGCTCATGATATCATTATATAAAAGCAAATCAAATTTATAAATTAAATACAAACAAAACCACAAACCAATAAAGTTCAAATAAACAAAATTAACTGAATGGGATAGATTTATTTATTTTTTTTAATGAGAATGAATTACTGCTTGTAATTGGCTGCCTTAGTGCCAGTGGTATTGAGTGACAGTGCTTGGCCTCTCCTTGGTAACTAAGCATAATTTACTCTTTTCTCACCAGTTCAAAAACAATTAGCATAGCATTTCTTATTTGCGATTACTGTATTAACACAAATTTAAGCTTGGGCATCAAAATAATGTCCCAGGCTCATTTATAAGTAGTTATACTGTAGGTGTGAATTCACACCTAGTGGGTACAACGCACACTATCTGGGGGATGGGCACACTTATAACTTTGACTGAAATGATACAAAAGCAATTTATGCAAGCAAAACGTTTGTACCCCCATAATATTCTGAAATAAAAAAAAAAACCACAAAAATAATTGTGAAAAGCAGTTATCCTGTTATATGAAATTTACTTTTGTTATTTGTTTTAGATTATGAAGATAAAAACTGAAATATTCAAAACGAAATTATTGGAGAAAACCTGGGGATCTCTGGGAATGTCATCCATGATGGAACATGGAGATAATGAATGTGAATGTGCTTCCCAAAAGTTAAGGGAGTTAACAGTTGCCAGGAGCCCATTGCTGAGACAGGATTGGAAGCTGAAGGCAGCGATTGCAGATGACATGGAGTTTCTCTTCCTTGTCACTGCATGTCCTGACAGCATCATAACAGGTCGGAAG